AGAAATAGCTCCATTTTGCGCGCCGATGTTTAGGGGAGCATATCGGGACGAACACGTGGATAAATATCTGTTGCTCTGGGAGCGAAGGGGAACCGAAATTGGGATCGCGTCGGCGTGTGAGAGATCCGCGTCCGTGAGCGCGCCAAGACCTTTAGTTTGATGACAGCCGATTCTGACTGAGGGTCGCGATTCTCGCTCGGCACAGAAGGCTTGCGCGTCCACGGCCTAATAGCTCGCGCTTTATTATTTACTATCATCGTACGGACGCGGTTATTATTCGAATTTCCTAGGCACTGAACCCGTAATATCAAGTTCAAGGCATGAAAAGGTTTATTCTGCTTTCAAAATATTACCTATTTGAACTTCAAGATCAATAGATTTTTAAAAAGTGTCTTTTGAAAGTATAATTGTTTGTTTACTTAAATTTTCAAATATTTGAAAAAATTGCATTTAATAAGAAATATATCTAACTAATATACTTTTAGTTTTGTTATATTAGAAAATGATTATAAATTCAAACAGTATTACTCAGTACACAATAATACTCAAATTAAAAGGTGTTACTTTAAAATATTGCTCTTAAGCGGTTTTATAAACCCAGAATATGCAAACTATATATAACCAAATGTAACCATATATACATATGTTACTTTTAATGTTATATACACTACGGGCATTATAATTAAAGGATTGGTTAATGTCTAGTTTTCTACCGTTGTCCAAGAAACCTAATGCCAAAGAATGTTCCGACCATCGAACAATTGCCCTGATGAGTCACAATACTGAAAGTGTTTTTGAGAATTATTTATAATAGAATTTTGCTGGGCGTGGACTCAGAAATCAGTGATATCCAAGTAGGGTTTAGAAGAGGCATAACGAGAGAGGCTCTTGTAAATAATAAATGTGTTAGCACAGAGGTGTATTAATATGAATCAGACCTGTATGTGTGTTTTATAGGATTATGAAGGTTGATAAAGTCTAACATCATAGAATGTTGTTGCTGAAAAACCCAGGCTAAAAATACAAGGGATAGACATGGATTTGAAAAACGTTAATAAGGAAGAAATTATTCATGAAATTAAAGAGAGAAATGGATTTGATGGCAAATTAGTTATAAACTATCAGCATAAATTTTTTAATAAGAAAAATTCAAATTGGAACATAATAATTGAGTGTGATGCAGCAGCATACAGCCAGATAATGTCTACCAAATACATATATTTTGGCTATAATAGATGCAGAGTGATGGACGATTACAATTTGAATAGATGTTATAACTGTTCGCAGTATTTTCATTCCAAATGCACAACTAATACAGTATGCAGTAAATGTGCTGGAAATCACAATACCAATGAATGTAACAACAGTAATTCTCCAAAATGTATCAATTGTATTACCTCAAATCAAAAATATAAAACAACAAGACGTACAGACCATGAAGCTTATGATTTAAATGCTTGTGACACCTATAAGTACTACCTACAGAGGCATATTCAATCAGCTGACTACCCATACAACCCTACACACACAAAAGGCACCAATGACAATCGATGATGCTAGACAAGTGGACAAAAGTTATTAAACTAAATTATTATTATTATTTATCTTTTTTATTATAAATAAGTTTGATATATAATGGATGAAAACATAAGGATAAACATTTGAATGTGCGATCATATTTACAGGGTTTAATGAATTGAAATATCTGGTTGAAAGCAATGATTTTGATTTCATATTTTTGTCTGAGACATGGTTGTCTGATGGTGACGACTCGCTAATGTTTCAAATTCTCTATTATAATTTAATTAGAAGGGATAGAATGGGTAGAGGCGGGGGCGCGTTGGGGTTTATAAAAGCATTTAGTATTAATATGATCACTTTCGATTTTGTAACAAATGACTCACTGAGTATCTAGCATTTACGACCAAGATAAAAGACAAGATATATGGATTTGTTGTATTTTATAGACCGCCATCACTGAATTTTAATACCGTAACAGCTGATTTTGACAATATTTTCTCCAATTTTGTTCCATCGGTGGATGATATATTTTGTCTGGGTGACTTTTAATATTATTAATTTACTTAGTTTAAATAATCTGTTAATTCCGTTATTTGAGAATTATAATTTGGGTTCAAATTATAGAAGAGCCTACTAGGTCTCTTCTGCAAATGCGATTACCTTATTGGATGCAATTTTTGTGACAAATCAATCACTTATAGCAAAATGTGGAGTCATGTCAGCAGATAATATATCTGATCATAAACTTATATATTGTAGTATAAATATACATAAGCCCTTGGTCACACCTAAGCTTATTAAATATCGTTGTTTCAGAAATTTTAATTATAATAATTTTTTGCACTCGCTGCATTCTCTACCTTGGGATGATATTCTGTATACGAATAACATTGATAATAAAATTGAAGTTTTTAATGAACTTATAATAAGTCTCTTCGATATACATGCCCCGATAAAAGAATCTAGAATAACAAAACCCAGAGCGCCCTGGTTAACTTCTGATATAAAAATATTTATGAAACAACGAGACACTGCCTTGCAAAAATATAAGAAATCCAAGCTTAGTGAAGATTGGACCCATTATAAATTTTTGAGAAATTTTACTCTCTCTGCCATCAGACGAGAGAAGAAAAAATATTTGGACTCTTATATAGAGAGAAAAATACAAGGCGATTATGGTCTGGAATGAGAAGTTTCAATATATGCTCGGAAAAACATAAAAACAATATTCCTCCGTCCTTGTCTGACCCTAATGAATTGTGTAATTTCTTTTCTTCGTACCTCCGAAATATGTCAAATTGTGATACAAAAACTGAGTATTACAGAAAAAATATTTTCAGTGGTAATTTACAATTTTCGTTTAGACTTGCTAAAGTATCTGAAATAAATGAAATTTTGAATAGCATAAAAACTAACGCAACTGGTGAAGACAAGATTACGCCGCTGATGTTAAAATATTGCAGTCCATATATAGACAAGTATATTACGCACATAATTAATTGTTGCTTGGAACGCAATTACTTTCCGGATAAATGGAAGATATCTATAGGAATACCCCTTTCTAAAGTTACTAGTCCGACGACATACAACGATCCACGGATAATAGGTATTCTACCGGCACTGTCAAAAATATATGAGAAAATTTTATACAGTCAAATGTATGATTATTTTATTACTAATGAAATTATTCCTCATAGTCAGTGTGGTTTTCGAAAACATTTTGGAACAACAGTGGCTTTAGCGAATGTTGTTGATGATATCATCAGAGCTTGCGACAAAAGTCTTGCTAGCATATTGATACTGTTAGATTTTTCAAAGGCTTTTGATACAATAAACCATGCACTTCTCTTATCTAAATTACATTTCTATGGCTTTTGTACTGAATCGTATTTCTTAATTGAGTCTTATTTATCCAACAGATTTTTGACTGTTTTTTCTAATAATAAATATTTCAACAAAATTAGGCTGCACTCTGGTGTACCACAGGGCTCTGTCTTGGGTCCGTTGCTGTTCCTTGTTTATTCATCTGACATATTAAAGTCTTTACTGCTTGTAAAGTACAAACATTTGCGGATGACACTCAACTGTATAGTTGCTTTGAGATGGATGACTATCTGGAAACTGAAGTAAATATAAATAAAGATTTAGAGATCTTAAGCCAACTTGCAAAAGGTCACAATTTGGTACTGAATAGTTCTAAATGTTACATTTTACTTTTTTGAAGCAGCAACAAAATTAAATTCTTGGAAAACAATCTTAATATAACAATAGACAATGGAAAGCTAACTTTTGTTAACAGTTCAAAAAATTTAGGATTACTTTTGGATGTGGAACTTAGATTTAAGGAGCATTTGACAAAAATATTACAACGAGCATACCTTGCTTTAAAGCTGTTATACAACAACAAACATATTCTAAATGTATACCTAAAGAAAAATCTTTGCGAATCGCTTGTAATATCTCACTTTAACTATGGCGATTTTATTTCTGGTTTTTGTCTGGATCTAGAGAGCAGGTTGCGCATTCAAAAGGTGCAAAATGCTGTGTTCGTTTTATTTTTAATATAAGAAAGTTTGATCATGTGACCCCCTTTTTTAAAGAACTTAATTGGCTAAAAATGGACTCGCGTAGAACTTTACACTTGTGTACATATGTTGTGAAAATAATTAACAACCCCGCTGCTCCCCTATCTATTAAAGAGCGTTTAATTTTCAGACGTGACATACACGAAGTTAATATTAGGAATGGAGGTGAGGTGACGATGCCTCATCATCGGACAGCCATTTTTCAGCGCGGGTTTTCATATAATGCCGTTAAGGGGTATAACTCGTTACCAACAGAATTGTTGAATTTGGGTGAGAATGCGTTTAAGCATAAATACAGAGAGTATCTTTTAATGCATTCGTAATTTTTCATATTTTTTTTTTTTTATACTTTACTTGCATTGTACATTTGAAACTTTTTTTAAGGCAATTTGTAAAACATTATATTTAATTATTGAGTTTGGCCATGTTCTGGTTAAGTTGAGTAGCTATTGCAGTTGTGACTACTAGACTTGCAATTTCGTTACTGTCTTATGTATTTTTTTCTTCTGTAAAATAAAGGCAATTTATTATTATTATTATTATTATAGACTAATTGAAATACTTAAAGGCATGAATATCGATAGCCGAGATATCAGGATAATAGCAAATCTTTATTGGGGGCAAACAGCGAAGGTTATAGTGGACGACCAACTTTTTGATGAAGTAAAGATTCTGAGAGGCGTTCGTCAAGGATGTATACTTTCTCCGCTATTGTTTAATATACAGCGAATCAATTTTTCGGGAGGCCTTGACTAGTAGAAAGGAGGGCATCACTATTAATGGGCAGGTCTTAAATAATATGCGGTTCGCGGACGATACCGTCCTTATAGCAGACCACGTGGAGGGTCTGCAAACACTTCTACAAAGACTAAACAACACGTCTATGGCCTGAAAATGAACCCTAAGAAAACTAAATTTATGATCCTCACTAAAAGAGAAGATGTCCAAGCCAATGTTCTAATAGATGATACACCTATGGAGAGAGTACAACAATATAAATATCAAGGCAGTTGGTTGACCGAAAACTTGGATCAATCAGCAGAAATAAAAGCTCGAATAGAAGGAGCTAGAGCAGCCTTCGTAAAACTCAAAAAATGTATCTGCAGTGGAAACATCAACTTAAAGCTTAGATTAAGAATGCTAAGGGGTTACATATTTGCAACTCTACTCTATGGTTCAGAGGCTTGGAATTAAAAAATTAAAAAAGCCGAAATGGAGAAGCTTGAGGCATTCGAAAGATGGTCTTATCGGCGTATGCTGAGGATTGCATGGACTGACAAGGTTACAAATGTAGAACTGCGACGCAGAATTCAGAAGGACGAAAAGGTGATTAACACCCTTAAAAAGAGAAAACTTGAGTATTTTGGACACATAATGAGAGGACCTAAATATGCCCTGCTGCAGAACATAATAGAAGGAAAGATAAAGGGCAGAAGGAGCCAAGGAAGAAGAAGAACATCATGGCTCAAGAATTTGAGAGAATGGTTTGGAATGACTTCAAACCAGTTATTCAGAGCAGCCGTTAACAAAGTTAGAATTACCATGATGATTTCCAACCTCCATAGGAGATGGAACCCAAGAAGAATATGCAAAAAGGAATACCTAGCTAGATAACACAAATGATCACATTTTTATTTAACATATTAGATATAATTTTCAAACCTATTTTATCAATAACATATATATCAATAACATAACTATCCAATAAGGTCCTAGACGCAGGCTGTCCTTCAATAACATAAAAAAGGACTATTTTATACCAAACAAGAAAGCGAGGAGACGTGGAACCAGATAGTAGAACAGGCGACTAAAAGCCCAATGGCGAATGCTCTTAAATGCCTTTTGTTGCAGTTATGAATTATAGAATTGTTATTTATTATTGTACATTTTAATTCACCACAATACACCATAACAGTTTACTTTTAACACAGGACGCGCGTTGCGCTAACCATGTTAGCATCATCAGCAGATGATTAAAACTAAAAGTACCTTAATTTTAATCATCTAACTGCTGATGTTTAATAAAATTGATGTTTAATCTTCGGCGTTACAAAATTGAAATAAAAATACCAAAGTGTAAAATCGTATGATGGAAAAAATGGCTATAAAATGAAGACCGCCGCCATTCTATATGTAAAATTATATGGGAAATATCATGGATAGTCATCTCCAAGCCAACTAGACGACGTTTTTTTTTCGATCATACGGTATTATATATTTTATCAAAAATTAATCTAGATGTACATTTTACTAATAATTTAATAATTTTTAATTATTAGTAGACCTACCTCTCTTCTGTGTAGACCTATTCTAATATACCAATTCCATTATGGCCTTAATAAAATTTCTCTGTCCATTGTTGCCTCAATGATTTGCTGTATTCCGTGATCGTTAATGGTCTTCATTTGGTCCACCCAAATATTTTGGTCTTTTTTTCAATAGTTTCCTCCATAACTTGTTGTCTAGATTGTTTGTTCTTGAAATATGTCCAAAATACCTAAAATATGACTGATCTTGATAATGATAATAAATTAATGTTTAGTTTTTATAAAATTCATATGCTAATTTCATGCTGTGTCCATGGTATTATTCTCTGGGCCATTTATAATTCTGAAGAATAGCCAATGAGGACATTTGATTATTTGTTCGAGATTTTTTTGCCCAATGTATTCATATATATTTCAATGGCTAATCTATGGTGTATTTCAGCATCAGAACCAACCTTATTCCTAATGAGCAAATACATAATATGGTTATATTGTACCGCTACTTCAAAGCCTGCTAAATGTTTTTCATTTAAAGAAATATTAATATTTATTCACATACAAATTATCAATAACTGATTCATCAGTATCCAAAAACGTTATGCTAATACAGAGGTTAAAATTATTTAAACCAATCTAGATATTTGCATATGTTATATTATAGTCAGGTTCTGAGTTTCATCTATACTTTGTATAAAAATATAACAAGTCTGGATACTCTGACTACACAGCAAGTGAAACGAATATACTTAAAAACAAGAAAAGACGACCAGCTGGTTCTAAATAAGCTGTGGTAGCAGTAAGAAAAAATAATTAATTAAATAGATTTGGCCATTTTGTTTCCCTGGATTTTTACCCACTAGATTTGTCAACAAATATTAAATTATTAAATGTTATTTAATGAATTTATTAGATTAAAACCAATATTTTTACTAAAAAAACATTCTTTAAGGCAATAAAGAGAAAATGTTAAACTTACCTTCAAAATAAGCAACAACTGAACCATTAAAACAGACTAGATATAGCTGAATTGTCCCCCTTTTTTCCTAAAAAAGTACCAAAAAAGTATTGTGAATTATTCCAATGGTTTTGGCTGCCTTCGTCTCATCATACGAATACGGTTATTATTTTAAAATGGCCCACAAACCCGAGTTATCAAATTTAAGGCTGCTAAACATTTATTGACTTTCAAAACATCAAAGATATATAGAGTGTTTTATCCATAAAATTGGTATTAAATGGAAGATTTTCTTATTGTTATAAATTTCGTACTCTAAATAACATAAAATAAATCAATATCAAACGTATTGGATGTATAATGACCTAATCAATTTTTATGATATATCGTTTTGAATTTTTATACTTTTATTTTCAGTTTCTATTTTTCTAACGAATTCAGTTTTAATAATTGAAGTTTGCAAACTATCACTACATATTTACCATAAATAAGATCCTCTTAAATGAGTTTAATACACGATAAAAATAAGGCTACGTTTAACACTAAAGTCATTAAAGAGTTGTAAAAATTAATTCTTAAAGTTTTGAGGAAAATCTTTTGCAAGTTTTGAAAAATAAGCATTCAGTGTCGGTGTTTATCGCA